TCGACCTCCTCGTTGACCGCCCTCCAGCGCTCTAGGGCTAAGTTGCGTTTCTTCTGTCTAACGGGTCTGACAGTTCGGTTCGTAGTGGTTCCTTGACGGAAGCACTGATCTGTAGTGTGCGAGCTGGGTCCGGAGCCGAAGTTGGGACTGCGACCGTTTTCTCTGTGGGCGAAGCTCATTCCTCGCCTTGCTCCGTGGGCCGCTCCAGGGTGGCAACATAACATTTGCGGGACTCGAGCTGGTCGCCCCGCGCTACCCCCACACCGAAGTCCGTAGGGAACTTCATGGCCAAATAGTAGGTGGAGACCACCGCTCGTAGGATATGCGTGATTGACCGCCCTATTATGGCATTGTATGGGGAGGGGGTCGCGACCACCAGGAAATCATGGTTGAGTCTGACCGCACAAGGCCATGTGCTGAATTCCACAGGTACTGTTATTTTTCCGAGGGGCCTGATTTCCTCTCCGCTGAAACCCACCGAGGGGCCTGACTTCCTCTCGGGACAGTCTGCCCCAAGAATCCGCAAGGGAAATAAGATGAAAATTAAAATTTGAAAATGGATGAAGCTTCAACAATGGAACAACATGAATGAACCGAATTGGTAAGGAAGTCCACAAGCTGATTGGTTTCTCTATAGAGTGGCTATAAGTGGCCTCCAATCTTTCCTCTTTTGCTAAGCTCCAGCATTCCTTCCTGCACCCAAGCTTTAAATACATGGTTCATGTGAAATCAGGACGGTTCATGTAAAATCATACCTGCGGAAAGACATGAAAAATGTGGGATCCAAACGATCTTGGGTTGTAATGTCTGTTTCGAAGGGGCTTCACACTAGGGTGCAAATGGATCGGATCATGATTTGATCCTATCCAAAGTCTGATCCTATATTTTCTGATTCGGATATCTCCATTTAGATCATCCCTATCCAATTCAAGAAGATCCGATCCGATATATATGCTATTTATATATTTATAAATACATTATTTTTTTTATAATGAAAATAGTTGAAAAGATACTTGTATTTTTTGTTTTTCTTTATTTAAATTGTTATATTTTATTTTTCTATTAATAATTTATTGTTTTTTATAAATCAAATCGGATTGAATCAGATCGAAAAATCCGACTTCCTCATCAGATTCAAATTCAAATCCATGGATGTGATCAGATCGGATCTGCAATTAATAGTGTTGGATTTGAATTCAACTCAGATGATCTTGGGTTGTAATGCCTGTTTTGACGGGGCTTTCTCACAACAGCTTCTGGCTTGGCAAGGTGGATCCAACACAGAAAACCTAGAAGTCAAGGTTTAAAATAACAATACAGGCCATTTTAGGTTAAAATAATCAGGACGGTTCATGTAAAAGCATACCTGCATAATCGGCCTGTATCGAAGCTCATTTTCCTTTTTTTTCTTTGAAACTGGTTCAGAGGGGTTGGTCTAAGGCTAGTCTACCCCCTGAACCAGGTCACACCCCGAGTTAAGCCAACGATACAATATGATACGATATGCCCAATACGGGGTGTATTATATCGAAATTTTGAACTTTGCTAGAAGCTATGCTTGGTGAAAAACTGGAAAGCCCAAATATTCAAAGCAGCTCAATCAAAGCTGAGGCCCTCTCAAACGGGCTCCAGAATTCTCTCTAGGGGATGAAGTTTCTTCAGCACAGGTATGGCGGTATCTTCCAATATTTTCCTGCGAAGTCCTGGGCTAACCAACCAAAACATTCTTGTTTTTGTAATTTGATTTTTTTTCGTTATTCCTTCTCGAATTTGTAGGTAGATTATTTGCATTGATTGTTAAGAATGTCAGAGTAAGTGTARTGCACAAGGAGAGGGCCCATAGCCCAACATGGCCCACTTAAAAAAATTTATGTTAAACAACTAAAATTAATGGAATATAAGCAATTAAAGAAGCAATCATATAAATACATAATCAAAACTTACAACTTTCCAGCTTCTTAGGAACTGGTATCTTCAATCCCTAACAAAGTCTTGGAAGTTGGAACTATGGCTGTAGCCTGTAGGTAGACTACTAACTGCATACTTGATCCAAAGCTTTGTTTGGAAAAGATTCTCCAATTTATGGACGTCTTTTGCAAATACATATTTGACAGAACTACTCTTATGGATCATCATCATAAGGTGCAGTTGAGGCAGGGAATGATGGGAGAAGTACAATAGGTCTTCCATGAACTTGAAACTCAGCAAGCATGGAACTGGTATGCGGTTGACAACACCGAGTATTTCCTGTTAGGTCAAGCAGCTCAATTTTACCTGAACAAACAGTCCACGATGAAGTGAATAACTCAACGTACAATTTGATTAACCAAGCAGAATGAAGCCAATTAAAATAGTTGCCAGTCTAGACTTGAAGCATTATTATTGAGAGACGAGAGAAATGTAATTGCATGAATTGATTTGGAGGATGTTTCCAGTAAAAAAGCACATTTACCAGAATGGATATCATCCTTGAAAAATGGAAATAAATAACAATGAGGTGAAACCCCTAATCATTCAGTTTGCAATTTCCAGTCTTTGGAAGAAATTTTGTTCTCTTTTATTGAATAAAATATAATAAATCTATCTTATATTTTTGTGTTAGTTTACAGAAATGTTTGAGTTAAATGTGAAAAAGTTGTATGAGTTAATCCACAAATTAAATTTGTAAATCTAACAATTACTTTTAGCAATAATATATATTATTTAGTTGCACTTCTTTTTTTTTGTACACAATTTTACAAAGTTATTATAACCAAATGTTACTTCAACTTTTACTTGGAGTCTAAGCCTTAAGAGATTGAGATAGAAGTCCTAAACGAGAGACTTCATATGGAAGCTTATCTTCAGCCTTCATGGTGGAATTAGAATAAATAAATAAATAAATAGAATTTATAGTGATTTGTGGGGACGTGCTACCCCCCATCTTGTGTAGCCCCTTACTTTTATTATAAAAAAAAAATAAATAGAATTCTATTGTTATTTTGAAGTTCAAATTTCAAATACCATGTAAGCTACTTGCTATCTTGCTCTCAAAGTGAATAGACCTGTGAATTGGACTAATAAAATAAGTTTTCAAGTTGCTACATCTACAAGTGATCAAGGTAACCATGCTTTTGATTTTAATACTACTTTAGTTATTAATAAAATACACACACCTCAGATATCCCTCCCACCCCAGTTTTCATGCATAATTGTAATCCTCAGAAATTTCTTAAAAGARGGAGTACAAAAGATCCTTCACAAAAGTCAAGGCATAGAGTTTGCTGTGCAAAAAGATCCTTCTGCACATGAACATGCCAAACCATCAGTTATGGAATTGAGTCTTGGGGTCCATGTGAACTCAGCTAGAGTTGAAGTGGAAAGCTCTCTTGCTTCGTTGAAGTAATGGGCCAGCTGCCTCTTAGCACATACCTCCCCTTGTTGGAAGGGCTAGGATCCATCATATGGATGGCCGAACCATACTAGATGGCTGGGTGAAATTTCAAAAATTTCCTAATCCTTCTGGGAATCGAATTCCCTATGTTTTGAAAAATTGCATTTTTCTGGATCGTTCTTACATTGAACCGGACCAGATTTGAAACCAAACTAAGAGGGAGATGTGTCCTGATACGAATACCACAAATGCAGATCCCAAGGTGGAAGTTCACGCCCAAATTAGTCCTAAAACTAGCCTCCACTGAAGATGGTGCAGTGTATAGGTGAAGCTGATTCAGCAACACAGTTTTCAACAAAACTGCAACGCAACTGCTTGGATCGAACTAGGGAAAGTGAGCCTGAAATTCCTCTGGATTTTTCTTGAAAAAATAAGAAAACTGATTTCTAAAAGTCATTGATAGCTGATGTTGATCTGGAAGAAACTGGGAGACAAAAGGATGCAAAGAGAACCAGAAACTACAAAAATATGAAGCTATTTTGGACTGGTCTGCTCCCTCCTCTTTTATAATCTCTTATGAAGCTACCTCCTAACCTAATTAGGAGATAATCCAAATCTAAATCAGATCTGGACTCTAATTAGAGATATACCCTATCTTCTTATAAGATTAGGTGCTCCATACTCAGATCCAAACCTAGATTCGCCCCATGTCACATGACAACTACAACTTAATCATATTAATTATGGGCCTTAGGCCCATCAACTATAAGGCTCACGATTCCAGAGTGTTGCTTGGCCCACTTAGGCTTGATTTGTATGGCATGGGACCCCACAATGGCCTCACATAAGTCCACATAGGCTCAGCCCAGCCTCTATGAAAAGACTTGGCCGAATTCACTGCTAAACATTGCCCGATAGGGAAAGACCTCTCCCTTGGGTGCAAGGTGCAGTGTCACACTCTCTACTTGAATGGATTCCGAGAATTAAAATCTTTTTGCAAGCATTTTCATAAAAAATTAATATATAGATATAATGAATATATTTTGCAAAATCAGATTTCAAAACAGTGTTGAAATTCAACCGACAATTCAGGTTTCCATTAGAGAGAGTGTAAACCTTATCATTCACTTTGTCCAACAAAGGGGCCGATCCTATCACTATGATCACCCACTTAGGTGAATTCTCAGATTGCCCCAATATACCTAGGTTTTGACCCTTGATGGATTTCACTGGTTGGCATATCAAAGACAACCCGATCCAACACCTAGTATAGTACCATAATCAAGTCTAGGGGTTATGTGTAACTTTCTAGTTTTGCCCATCAATTTCCAAGGTCTAGGGCATAACTAGAAAATGGTCCAGGTTCATTGTTTCATCCAAACACACATTGCATGTGCTTTGGGTCTAACCCTACCATATGAGACAAGCTGCCCCAACTTCTTTGGCAGCATATCAGTGTCAGCTTTGGCAGGATAAACTCCCCAAGTCTATCCAACAGTTGAGAACATTCTAAACTAACACAAGTCTCATATGCGTCCAGTTTAAGGGGTAGTAATTACACAGAAACATACCAATGTCAACATGAAATATATCAATACTTTTATTCATTTATAATAAATGTATTTGTACATCAATTTGATTGGAGCTAAAGGTATACACTGTTTAACACACCCCTCCCCTTTCGGGGAGGGGGGGGGTGAATTCTAATCAATAGAGCTCCTTATAGGATCCATCTGAATCCCAAATCTTAGGCCTAGGATTTTGCAATATTGGATTTAGAAATCAGGTAGAGGTACATGGAGAAAATAATAGGCCTAAAAATCCCAAAGAAGCAAAGAAGCTATATTTATTAATCTGAACTGATTGATTATTTAAACAAATATATGAAATACAAAAAGATATAAGCATATGAACTTGCTGCACAGAATGAAGAACTCAAGTGTAATTTCATAAAAGGAAATCTACATTGTATGAAGATAAAAAAAAACCCAGCTGGTTGGCCAATCAAGTAGTCAATTTCAAGTACTATCTTCAATACTTTGCAGCACTACCGATTTATAATTTAAATTCTACTTGCAATAGTTAGGGGTGGTGGAAACTTTGTGCAAAATAATGCTAAAGATTAGGACCATACGTAGTTTACCCTCCCATGATCCTAGATAGCTGGGACCAACGTTGCACAATGGCCTTATTATTCTACTTGCAATAGTTGCTCAATGCAGATAGGACTGCAAACGGATCGAATCAGATTCAGCAAGAGGTATATCTGATTTGATTCAATAACTTTTTTAGTGATTCAAATCTGTATATAATCCGATGGGATTTATAAAAGTTGATTCGAATTCGACCCGTTAATCATAATGGATATCCGATTGTTAACCTATTGAGAATTTTCAGCCATGAACACCTATAATGGTGTACTGGATACAGGAAGAGAAAGAGACAGATTGACAGGGGGTGAGTAGAAGATTTACAGTTTCAAAAACAAATTACTTGCAGCCCCAAGTGGAGGACCAGTGGTGGCGCCTGATTATTGCCTGGTGGTAGCTGGAACTTTGGAGTTTGGAACTGGAAGCTGGTTGCAACGACCCTCCAAGCAAATCCACAGTACTCTGGAACTCAAGGCAGACAGGTGGTTGGAGTCAGAGACATCTAGTTTGGTTGGCGGGCAGTGTTTGGTTCTAGCATAGGGAAAGCATGAAGCACCAATACAGACTGCTGGTTTCCTGTGTTTCTGGGTTTGAATGGCGGAGTGAGAGAGAGAGAGAGAGCCAGAGAAAGAGGGAGATGCGTGCAGACTCAACTGGTGGTGTGTTGCTGGCCATGCTGCCGGTGATGGAAGAGCAGAGCCATAGAGGTTCGAGTTTGACAACCATTCGAAAATGAGGAATGACAGCTAGAGCTGTAAATTGGGTCATGCTGCCCACAGGCCAGCACGACATGGGCCGTGGCGGGCCCATCTCGTCACTGTAGCATGCGGGCTGTGCTGGGCTTGGGTTTTAAGGCCCATGGGCTGGAATGGCACAACACAACAAAGTGGGCCATGCTGGCACAGTCCTGCGGCCCGACCCAATATATATAATCAAGGTTCAAAGTATCGGAAGCGCCAAGTGTATCGGAAAGGCAATTTTAAGAGACGTATCGAGATACGCCTTGGATATGCATGTGTATCGGAGAAAAACTAAGATACACATAGATACACTTGGAAACACTATAAATACTTTATTAGATCATAAAAATACATAAAATACACTAAATATAAGACCTCAATGAGGTGTATATATATTAAATTAATATATTTTAGTGGTTTTATGAAGAAATATATTGTAGCTAATTATAACTTCATTAAAAATCCTATGCTTAACTATAATTTATAAATTATAATCTTAAGTTTTAATTTTTTATGGGATGGGAAAAACCCAACTCTCCTATCCAACCATAAAACATGCATTGGCACAACTTCTATGTGAAAATATAATTAATAATTATTTATTATTCCAAAAATTATAAAAATAAATAAACATTATATAATATATTTAAAAATAGTTATTAAAGAAGAAATATCAATTGCTTTGTGGATATGATAGATCATCCATAGAATTATAATATATTCAATCATTGTGATCAAATAGTAAAATATAATTAATTATTTTTTAATTCTAAAAATATAAAAATAAAAAAATTATTAAAGAAGAAATTTCAATTGGTCTGTGGATATGATAGATCATCCATAGAATTATAATATATTCAATTGTTGTGATCAAATGGTAAAATATAGTTAATTATTAATTATTTTTTAATTCTAAAATATAAAAATAAAAAAAAATTAAAGAAGAAATTTCAATTGCTCTATGGATATGATAGATAAATCCATAGATCTAAAACATATTTAGTCTTTATA